TTTTTGGCCATATATGTAAGTGAAGAAAAAGAAAGCAAGCAGGCTTGTTTTAGAAGGTCTTGAAAAGTCTAAGGATATTTACTCATTTGATGAAGTCAAATGTTACTCATTTCATTTGTAATAGGGAACCACCACATCGGGAGGCCTGTATCCTGTCTAGGATGTAAGTGTTCAATATATTTTTGTTGACAGAACAAATGAACAGATGTATTTATTTTGCCAAACTCAGCATTTTTAAAAATCTTAACTTATTGAAAAATAATAATGTGAAATTAAAAATTAAATACCAACAAAAACTCAAAAGGAACCTTAGCACCATTTAATCCATTTGTCTAATTTATCATTTAAGGAAATAAAGGATCAAAGAAATAAGTCTGTTAAAAAAGCATAGTAAAAATCAGTCTTTATATTAGTCCTACCACACTGTTGGTCTTGATTTAAAAATGAGTACAAGCTACGATTACTTTTATAATTTATAAAAGCATTTACATTTATGGCACTAATTTAGGTATAAAGGAAAGCAAGAAGACTAAGTGCAGTTTCTTAATTCAATTGTTTTAACAGATGAGACACATGGAAAAGCTCACCAGGAACCACTTACTGAGTGCCACAGCTTTTAGAGACATGGCATTTAAACTATAATTGTGAAAAATGATTGCCAAGTACCCATATCATTATCAATCTAATTCAGGAGGTAAAAAAAATAAAAGAAACAGGCTATCAGTTAGAGAATAAGGCTGCCTGATTTCTTTTTCTAGAATTATAGAATTTTTTTTCTTAAGGTACAGACCAGGGGTATCCAACCATTTTTCTTTCCTGTAGCACATTAGAAAATAGAAGTTACCTTGGGCCACACAGTAAATACACAAACACTAAGGAAAGCTAATTAGCAAAAAAAAATCTGTGCACACTCTTTGTGATAACTGACACTTACCACTGATAAACAAAAAGAAAAAGTTACCCTTGAAGCCCATTAGTGTTCAGAATTGTCAGGTCAAGAAATAACTGGGGAAAAGAAATATAAAATAGAAAGAAGCAGTGAAAGGAACCTCAGGAAAAAAATTAAAAGGAAAGAAATGCAAAGTAGAGAGTGCATTGGTACTAGTTTCAGGAGTTACTTAGTGTAGGCTAGTTTCTACTTTTGTTTAGCAAAGGGAATAAATGACAATTTTAATATATTTAATAAACTTAGGATCTAGATTACAGATGAAATTTGAAACATGAAAATAAGATGAGCACTGAATTTTAAAAGTTCCTCACTATCAAAGATAAATTTGAAGATAGCAAATGATAGTGCAGAAACCAAAATATAGAAGATTTTTAATATAGCAAAAAAGGTAAAACTGCATTTCTATGCGCCCCAAAATTCTCCAAAAAAAGCTTTATATAAAATTACATATACATTCTGCTCAGTGATTAAAAGTTCTACAAGACCAGAGTTTTAGGTAAGTAAAATACTAGAGCAACATAAGAGTACTTACTATCAATAATACATTTTATAAGCATTGGAGTGGAAGGGAATACAGTCTATGTGAATAGTTTTTCTCATTACCTTCTCTTACACTAAAAGGCATAGTGACAACACCATAAGCACTTGGTACACCATATAAACAGCAGATGAAGTCAGAGAGATAGTCTAAGACACTGAGGTCATGCTCCACCACAATGATATACCTGAAAATCAAAACATTTTTATTTTTAAAATGTACATATAATTAGATAAAACTTTTCATAACTATTTTTTTACTATGGTTGGAAATTTCAGTAGATATATTATAAAAATATCAAGCATAAAGAACATATTAAGCAAAAGCCACAAAACACTTTCTTCAAAGATGCTCATTATCAATGCCCATATTTGGAAATGTTTTCTGATACTAGAAGGAAAAACCCAGGTAACATGAAAGTTTATATGTAACTATACATAAATGTGTTTCGCTAATAAGGAACGTATTTAAAATAACTTTTACAAAGTAAAAGCAATTATAATAGATTTAATTTAGATGTAGCCGACGGTTTGAAAATTGTGCCATTCAATTTTCTTATTTCTTAGGCCCTTTACTTTTCATGTCCCATGCTAGCTAGAGTAGGAGACATCAGAGAAAAATGACAGAATTCATAATCTGAGAATTTTCAAGTTAGCTAGGAAAACAGACCACACAGCGAAATAAGGTCTGGAGATGTCAAACTCCAGTGAAGGTCAGTGTGTACTAGAGCCAATACACTGTAAGAATGAGAGGGGATATGATGGGAACCATAAAATACGGGCCGATTTGAATGAATGATGAAGTACACTGGTAGAGTACAAGCTATTAGGCCAGCTAACAGTCAAGAAGCCTTTATGCAACACTTTATTTCCATTCCAACTAACTTCAACATTTTAAGAAAATGTCCTACAGACATCTCAAATGCCAGTAAAAGTATCATCTTCCTGCACAAATATGAAAATGTTCTATATCTGTATTAGGGGAATCATCATCCTATCAAAAATGGCTCATTTTATTTTCACTGATATACTGTTTAAATTGTCAAGTCTGTGAACAGTGTCTTGCCTGTCAATTTCATCCTTTTCCTTCTCTGCTTAAATTCTAGCTCAAGTTCTCTTATCTTTCAATTTTGCCAGAGATTTTTGACAAATAAAGGCTTTATCTTCAGACCCTTATTTTCTTTCAAGGATTCCAAAACTTTACCTTACTTTCTGTTACTTAATTTATGTAACTGAAAACACTGAAAAATGGATCTTTGTTCCTGAATAATGCACTTCTTCCTTTGTGCCTCAGAGGCTCTTCTTTTTCTAAACGGTCTCTTGCCTAAATTTTCACCTGCTGCAGTCCTACTTAACCCTTTAAGGTCCACCTTAAACCCTACTGCTTGTAGGAATAGCTTTCATACAAATACATTTCATGAAAATGAACTTTTTCCCATTCTTTGAACCCCCCCCCCCAAGTATTTGAACTGACTTGGAGTACCCCCCCTTACTTGCCTGTAACTATCTTAAAGGGTGACTAATACAGTCTACCTCTGTAGACTTTAGTTTTATGCTAGCTATATCTTAAACATAATAGATACTTAATAATGTTGTACAATGACAAAGAATCTAGAGTAAAGCTAATTGGCAACAAGAAAGATGGTGGGTTCTGAAAGGGTAGAACTTTCTGATTGTGGCAATGTTCTATCTCTATGTTGTTCCACATGGTTGCCATTAGCCATAGTAGGACGGAACTAGTTTGAAGAAACAAATTTTTAATTTTAATTAATGAAAATTTAAATTATGACCTATGTCTAGAGGATCTAGTAAAGTTCTAAAGTGAGAATGATATAAAAAAACATTTCAGAAAGAGTGATCTGGGAAGAAGAAAAAACCATATATACATGCAGCACAATATTTAGCAGCTTTTAATTTGGTTCGAAAAAAGAAAAAAGTAGGTCAAACCTCCTGCCTCCCTCACATTCAAACGGCACTATGCCTACTAAGTAAGTCGAAAATATAAAAATGATGTAGGTCAGCCATTCTTATCTTCTGAATGTTTGGGAAGAAAAGAAATCTGTAGCACAGTAGGAAATCCATGTTGTAAAAATTTACACAACACAATTAGTTTTGGGTTTTCTTTTTTTTTGGCCAGGGCTGAGTTTGAATCCACCACCTCTGGCATATGGGGCCGGTGCCCTACTCCTTTCAGTCACAGGCGCCACCCAGTTTTGGGTTACTTTTTAAGTCTTCAATCTTACTGATAATGTTCTAAGGTCAAACTATGAAACTTCTTAAATTACTGTTGCTTTCTCCCAATCTATCCGTCTCTCTATTCCTCATTATTTAATCCAAGCATATGATCTTCAAAATCTTTTTATAGCATTGAAAACCTAATGTACACCTTGACACATAGGAGAATTTCAGGATGGAGATATATGTCCTATGACTGCATTATCACTCTATCATTACATAGAGATTTTAACATAAAACAAGACTCACCTATTTGTGCAATGGCTTCATCATTTTCTCTACTTTGTTAATCTAATTTGTCTTAACACAGTTACAATTAAGGTTACTACCCTCTCATAAAATAGGAAAAGTCTTCTCTAACATTACTTTTCCTCAGGTCCATCTATGCCTTGTTATTTACTTTGTTTTCCTATCCCAACTATACAGAATAGTTGCTGATCTTTTATTCATTGTAGGTGGGTAAGCACCTGGATCTAATGTCTTATTTTCTAGAGATGGGCCTGAACATTAATACTGAAATACTGGTTCTAAGTTACTTTCCTTTTAGTTCTCCTTTTTATTATGGCTAGGACATTATTTGCTATCTTTAAAGTTATATGCAAAGGTAAATAATATTATCTATGACTTCCATGTTAGTATGATAAAGGGGCTTAAAAATACTTTTAGGGGCTTCAGTTGAAAGCTATTAACTTAACTGCTTATGTATTCTTTACAGGACTACATGGTCCATGTGTGTTCTTTTCTTTACCATGAATTTCCTGAAATGCTAGCACTGTATTATTACCTTTGCATTCGCCCAAGGTAATGCCTAAACATGTGTATGGAGGGAAAATTATGGCTACTATTTGGCTCAAATAGCACAGTGTCTTACCTATGATATTCTAAGTGTTACTTTGTTTTTTTTGTTTTTT